CAAGTCTTTGAAAAACAAACTAATCTCAGTGATAGGTTTCCAGATTCTTTCAGGCAAACCAGAAAACACAATAGGCACTAAGGTCTCCATGAAAACATGACAGTCATGACTTTTCAAATGGCTCAACTTCCCTACCTCCATATCAACTTTTTTCCCAAAATTGGACGCATAACCCTCAGGCATCTTCAATTTCGTTACCCAATCACAAATCTGCCGTCTTTCCTCCAAAGTGAATGTGTAACTTGCTTTGGGCTTGAATAACTTACCATTGTTTGCTGTCTGCAAGTGTAATTCAGGCCGCCTGCAATATTCTTGTAAGTCCATTCTAGCATTCGGGTTATCCTTTGTCTTACCTTTAACATCCATCACTGTGTTGAACAAATTGTCAAAATAATTCTTCTCAATATGCATGACATCAAGGTTGTGACGGAGAAGATTATCCTTCCAATAAGGCAACTCCCAAAATATACTCTATTTGGTCCAATTATGAGTAACACCGTATCCGGGGAATCTATGCGGTGGAACTTCAGTAACTTTACTGAAGTTCTGGACCCTCTCCCAAATTTCATCACCTGAAAGTATCGGAGGTGGATAATCATATTCCAGTTTATTCTTTTTGAAAGCATTTTTCATTCTTCTAAACTCATGACCCTCAGGCAAGAATTGACGATGATAATCAAACCATGATTGCTTTCGGCCATGTTTCAAAGTGAACGCTTTACTATTTTCCATGCAGTAAGGACAAGCTAGCTTCCCAGTAGTCATCCACCCAGACAACATTCCATACGCAGGAAAATCATTAATTGTCCACATTAAATTAGCACGCAAATTGAAATTCTGCTTGGTTGATATGTCATATGTTTCAACACCATCGTACCACAATTGTTTTAGCTCATCAATCAAAGGTTGCAAATATACATCTATCAAACTTTTCGGATTACGTGGACCGGGGATAATACAATTTAACAATATATATGGACTAGTCATGCACAACTCGGGTGGTAGATTATAAGGTGTAAGAAAGACAGGCCAACATGAATACGGTATCGCAGATACAGAAAAAGGCTTGAAGCCATCCGCACACAGACCTAACCGAATGTTCCTTGGTTCACTAGCAAAATCTGGATATGTCCTATCAAAGTGCTTCCAAGCTTCTCCATCTGAAGGATGGCACATAACACCAGGTGGTCTTCTATTTTCAAAGTGCCATCTCATATGAGGAGCATAACTCATCGACGCATATAACCTCTTTAGCCTAGGTATAAGAGGTAAATAATGCATCGCCTTGATAGCGACCATCTTCCCGCTAGAAAGCCTCTTGAAACGAGGCTTTCCGCAAAATTTACAAATGCTTAAATTTGCATCATCTTTATAATATAACATGCAACCATCTTCACAACAATCAATTCTCATTGACGAAAGTCCTAACTTAGAAACTAATCTCTTTGCCTTATAGAAATCACCAGGTAATTCGATTTCCTCGCCAACTAGTTCACGCATAAGGTCAATGACAGAGTCCATGGCTCCTTGAGAAATATTCCAATCAGATTTCATACTTAGTAATCTAACTGCAACAGACAACTCAGAGTGCGGACGACCTTTACGTAGTGGACGACTAGCTTCCTCTAACTGTTCATAAAAACGTTTTGCTTCATCATTAGGAGTTTGTTCAACATTTTCGTTGGGCTCACCCCCAAAGTGCATTCCAAAAGCATTCGCAACCATATCATGAATTCTGGAATGACTATTTCTATTCTCCCTCGACCTACTACTTTCACCAAGAACCATGTTATGAAATATCCCATCGCTACCATCCATCTCTCCATGATAAGTCCACACAAAGTAATTCGCTATAAACCCCTTCATATAAAGATGAACCTTAACTTCCTCCGATTTTCCAAACTTTATACAGTCGCACTTAACACAAGGGCACCTAATTACTCCTTCTTTTATGTATGGCGGAAGTGACATTGCATGTCTAATAAAGTCCTCAACCCCTTCTACAAAATCCTCCCGCAATCCCCGCCGATTAGGATAATTCCTATTGTACATCCAAGAACGATGTTCCATCTATTTAAATAAAGCAAGAACAAATTAAATTAGTTAATACATTAATAAACTCCTCCCTTTAAATCTTTTTTCTTATCTTATAAATGTATAATTCATAGTTTAAAGCATGAATTTAGATACTCTTATTTAGGTATTGCTCTTCTTCTAAGACAATAAATTGTATCTTTACAATATTGAACTCAATATAAGTAAAAAGCTAATAGGCAAAAAAACAACCCTAATACTAAATAGTAAAAATTTCATATTACCTAATGTAGTTCATATTAGCTAATAGTAAAAAGTTCATATTACCTAATGTTGTTCAAACAAACAACCTAATGTAGAAAGTTCATATTACCTACCCTAATGTAAAAAGTTCATATTACCTAATGTAGTTCAAACAAACAACCCTAATACTAAATAGGCAAAAACTCTAACAAATTACATAAAATTATATAGCAAAATTTAAAAATTAAAAAGCTAATAGGTAGATTACTAACCTTGGTAGATTAAAAGGAGGCTAAAATCAGTGGGGGGCGGCGGAACAGTGGTGGCGGCGTTGACAGTGGTGGTGGCGGCGTAACAGTGGTGGTGGCTGACAGTGGTGGTGGCGGCGTAACAGTGGTGGCGGCGGCGGTGACAGTGGTGGCAACGGGTGGGGGGGATTGATTTGTGTAAGGGAAATAGAGAAGGGGAGGAGAAATAGTTGAGAGAGAAGTTGGGAAATTTGTGTGAGAGAAAATAAGATTTTGGGAGGGGAAACCCGATTTTGAGTTCTGCAATTAAAAAAAGCGACCAATATCGGTCGCTATTTTGGTATCTATATAAGTATTGACTGGTTTGACCAAAATAGCGACCAACGTTGGTCGCCTTTCTTGACCGTTTGACCAAAAAGCGACCATCTTTGTCGCTATATTTGAAAATAAGTAAATAAAATAACCCTAATTTTTCTCCTGTTTTATATATATATACATATATATATATATAAATATATATTATATACTCAAAAGCGACCAAAGTTGGTCGCCTTTTGATCAAACGGTCAAAAATGGCGACCAACTGTGGTTGCTACTTGGTCAAACAGTCAGTAGCATAATACACTTATACTTAGTGCATAGTATATAAGCTGTATTCGATACGGTATTACCTAATACACTTATACTTAGCGCATAGTATAGGTAAATACATATATTATATATATATATATGAGCTGTATTCGATACGGTATTACCTAATACACTTATACTTAGTGCATAGTATAGCGTAAGTACATATATTATATATATAAGCTATATTCGATACGGTATTACCTAATGCACTTATACTTAGTGCATAGTATAGCGTAAGTACATATATTATATATATATAAGCTGTATTCGATACGGTATTACCTAATACACTTATACTTAGTGCATAGTATAGCGTAAGTATATATATATTATATATATAGACACACACGCCCACTTCGTAGTACTATTCATCCCTTGTATTACAAAAGTATTAACGACTTACATTTATATTATTTACTATATATTATTTACATAGTAAATATAAAAGTGATTTTTAATTTTGACCATATAGAGACCAACTTTGGTCGCTAACTGTAAATGAATTTAATTTAGCGACCAAAGTTGGTCACTAACTGTACATGAATTTAATTTAGCGACCAAGTTTGGTCACTAAATTTTAATCAGATTTATTTATATTTTATATAATATTTAAATTAATAATAAAAATTATTAAATGTTAGAACTGGGTCCCACATTTGCAACCAACATTGGTCTCTATTTAGTTAAGCGACCAACTTTGGTCGCTAACTTTTGAATTATATTTATTTATATTTTATAATTTATATTAAATAAATATATATTTATTAAAATATAATAACTGGTCCTGCTTTAGCGACTAATGTTGGTCGCTATCAACTTATCCTTCAGTTAGCGACCAACTTTGGTCGCAAGTTTTAAATTATATATATTTATATTTTATAAGTTTTATAAAATAATAATAAAATTATTAAAAAAATTTATGTGGGTCCCGCTTAAGCGACCAACATTGGTTGCTAATCTCAGTATATCTTTGACCAAACAAGTTTGACCAGTCCAGTCAACAGTTTGACTAAATTTGCGACCAAATAGCGTCCAACTTTGGTCGCTAAAGTATTTCAAATATTTTTTTTATTGTTTTCTGCAGTTTGGCGACCAACTTTTGTCGCTTTTTTTGACAGACCAAATTTGGTCGCTAATCTTTGGTCGCTTTTTACAGGGATTCTAGCAGTGCTTACGCGTAACTGGTTCCCAAGATATTGTATCGTCTTCAACTTCATTATCAATATTATTTCTCTGATGGTATCCACAATTTCTTCTAAGCTCCGGACCTCTGAACATGTATCATTTTCACCCGAATAATCCAATATGCTATTGACATCCATTTTATTATGGTAACCGAGATCATTAATCATGACCTCAAGTTCATGAATATCTGTTTTCACAATGAATCATACATCATATATTGTACTTTATGTATAATTAATTTATTTTTTATATTAAGTCCATAAATATGATACATAAATAAATAAGATTAAGATACAATGATTTTGATGTAATTAAAAGTAACCTTCATTGAATCTCAAAAGCACTTTTTAAATTAATAAATATTAATTTATCGATTAAATAACCACTACAAATAATAAAATTTTGTGATCCCGATAATATTAATTTAAAGAGGTTCAACTTTTAGATTATACTGTATTTTTGAAGTGATCATTGATGATAACGGCCATGATTTTGCGGGGAAAAGATTGCACTACCAAATTGAAATCATTTTTTGGAGGGTTTCTGCCTCATCTCATATAAGTGACGTGTTGCTATGCATGGATAAGTCCATTTTCTCTCTCTCTTTCATCTCTCTATCTTTTGTGTATGTTCTTTTTTTAGGTCTGAAGCTTTTATTACTACTTATTACTTTTTGATAATTTGATAAGTCATACACTTGCCACCGTATACGTGACACAACAAACTATTCATAGACTTTTCCTGTATATATAGTTGCTACTATCTTTTATTGGTTCTTTGAATACAGTGAGAAACTTTCATTTGCTCTAATTTTCATATTAATGGCGGCTCGTGTGTTTGCCTCGCGTGTCTCTCGCTCTTTGACATCCTCTTCTCATCTGCTCTCAAGAGGTATATATATTTCCTTTTTTGAATCATTTTGTCATCTGAGATTTATTACTAGTATATGTTTTGTTCAATTCACTGTTTTGTTTTTCTTGGATTGGGTTTTTGTGTAAATGGATGTTGATACCTTTGTTTGATCATGATTTTGTGATCTGCATTTCGAAATATGATGGGTTTTCGTTGAAAACTCTTACATTTTCTTCATGATCTATAATGAATTCATGACCATGTTATATCGTAAGCACGGGATGCATTGTATTTCAAGATCTGGATTGGAAGTGTCAACTGGGATAAATTTTGGGATTAAATGTATCCCGTGTTTGGTTGAAGGGGGGGGGGGGGGGGAGGGGAATCAGTTTTTCATGTTATAATCATGGTATATCTAGGTTTGGTCGTTTGGTGTGATGGATAAGCAAAAATAATCCTGGGATAAAAATTTAGTACCGCCTTACCCCTTGGTTGGTGTCTAATCATGACATAACCCGTCAGAGGGTAGAATAGTAATCTCATAATAAAACAGTCAAATTGACAATCCCAGGATTAATACAAAACATATACTAGAAGATTAGATGTTATACCTTCCCCTATAAGATTTTTAGATGTTATACCTTCCCTCTATTTAGCTAGAGCTGGAGATATTTTTGAGTATTATTCTGAGAAAAAAAAACTATTTTGCTTAGGAAGTAAATCCCATCTGGGCAGAATAGCTGCTTATCAATACAGCACGGCGGCTGCTTTTGAGGAACCTATCAAACCAGCTGTCAATGTGGAACATACTAAACTTTTTATCAATGGTGAATTTGTTGATGCTGCATCAGGTAAATATGCTGTCACACTAATATAGTCTGTTCTCTTTTTCCATATCAACTTTGGCCATTTATTGCACAATGGAGCTAATTTTCTTGAGATTTTAGGAAAAACATTCCCGACTCTCGACCCCAGGACAGGGGAGGTAATTGCACATATTGCTGAAGGTGATGCAGAAGATATAAATCGGGCAGTAGCTGCTGCTCGTAAGGCTTTTGACGAAGGACCATGGCCTAAAATGAATGCTTATGTATCCACTTCTTATCTCTCAGTTCCCTCTTATGCTATGTTAATGGTTGTGCACGCGACATTACGCCTAATTCTCCATCTTTCATAACTGCAGGAAAGGTCAAAGATATTGTTGCGCCTTGCTGATCTGATTGAAAAACATAACGATCAAATTGCAACGCTCGAGACTTGGGATACTGGGAAACCATATGAACAGGCTGCTAAGATTGAAGTACCAATGGTTGTACGTCTGCTCCGTTATTATGCTGGTAAGTCAGAAAGCCAACTGAGAAAAGCAAGTATATCATCTATTTTGTGTCCCTGAAAATATTAATGATCTCCTATTGGTTTCGCAGGCTGGGCAGATAAAATTCATGGTATGACTATTCCTGCTGATGGACCGTATCATGTTCAGACGTTGCACGAACCAATTGGGGTTGCTGGTCAGATTATCCCATGGAATTTTCCTCTTCTCATGTTTTCTTGGAAGATTGGACCCGCTTTAGCTTGTGGGAATACTGTCGTGCTAAAGACAGCTGAGCAGACACCATTATCTGCATTCTATGTAGCACATCTATTACAGGAGGTAGCATCCAAAATTCCTCTTCTGTTTCCGCTGAGAGTCATTCTGCACATCGAATACAAAAAACTTCATCTTATCGGCATCGTATTTGAGTAAAAGCATCAGATTTACTCAAATTTTATGAAATATACAATAGCAGATGACATTGTATATTTTATGGTGTTAATATAATCAGAAACTGAAGCATATACTAGTTGAAGAGGAATTGCAACAACTCTTTTTCTTTTTAACACATTGTTATTGCTACTTTCTACAAGTTATCTCTTGTATGGAATATCTCTAATACTTGGTTATTACTAACAGGCTGGGCTGCCTGAAGGTGTTTTGAACATCATTTCTGGTTTTGGTCCAACAGCTGGTGCTTCTCTTTGTAGTCATATGGATGTGGATAAGGTAGACTCTTTAAGATCTTCTTCAGTCCTATAGTCCATTCTGTGTAACGAACTGAAATTTGTGGCTTTTCAGCTTTTACTTCTCCACGAAAGTAATCTGGCAATGCTTTGGTTGGACCAATTGCTAGACACTGCAACTACTCCTCATTCATATTCAAGCACTGAACTCATGTATTGCATTTGCTGCCATATCTTGTCAAAAACTAGTGGTGTCAAATGAGCTAATATTCCTCAATTTTATATTATTATTTAAAAAAGAAAAACAATGAAGAGATCTTTGTTGCATGTTGTATCTGCAACTTTTGAAAGGATGAATTTTTATTCAATAATAAAGAAGCCAAATTTCATACATTTCATGTAGAAAATCAAGCCATCTTATAGTTGGAAGTCTAGAAATATTTAGTGTTATCATCACTCTCATTCTCTTGTCCAATCATGGAATTGTATTAGGGGATTTTAGAGTTGACAGCACTTGATTCTTTAGCGCTCCGTGCTATTTTTATGCAATTTATCCAAACTCAAAACTATTAGCATGGAAGTAGATGCCAGTATACTGCTATTGGATTGGACACTGATTTACCTTTGTTTTGTCCACAGCTTGCTTTTACTGGATCGACAGATACAGGAAAAGCTATACTTACGTTGGCTGCTAAGAGCAATCTTAAGCCTGTGACTCTGGAACTTGGAGGGAAATCCCCTTTTATTGTTTGTGAGGATGCTGATATTGATACGGCCGTTGAACAAGCTCACTTTGCTCTCTTCTTTAATCAGGTATATATTTCCAATCTATAATTCTGCAACAGGGGTTTGTCGGGTTCATGGTAGATACTAACACCAATGTCATTTATTATAAAGGGGCAATGTTGCTGTGCTGGATCTCGGACTTATGTTCACGAGAAAGTTTATGATGAATTTCTGGAGAAGGCAAAGGCACGTGCCTTGAAACGCACAGTTGGTGATCCGTTTAAATCAGGCACCGAGCAGGGTCCTCAGGTATTGATGATCTCCTATCTCTATTACCGATCATGATCAAAATATTATCATGGAAAATATGTCCTTCCCTTTAAGTCTTATCTTGAGGTAATACTAAACCTAAGAGTTTCATGTCGCAACAGATTGATTCAAAACAGTTTGATAAGATCATGAATTACATTAGATGTGGTATCAATAGTGGAGCAACTCTTGAAACTGGAGGTGAGCGACTTGGTGAACGGGGATACTATATTAAGCCCACAGTTTTCTCTAACGTTAAGGTATATATCTTTTCACTTTAATAGACATGACGTTCAGCATCAACGTCCACATATTGTTATAACTAACAAATTGTACAATTCTCAGGACGATATGCTGATTGCACAAGATGAAATTTTTGGTCCAGTGCAGTCCATCTTAAAATTTAAGTATGTCTGAACGCCCTAATATAATATGTAAACATAGAGGCTGGAGCTATGAAATCGATTTATTTATTATATGAATTTGTTCATTACAGGGATCTTGATGATGTGATACGGAGAGCTAATAACAGTCGGTATGGTCTAGCTGCTGGAGTATTTACACAGAACATTGACACTGCAAACACATTGACACGAGCCTTGAGAGTGGGAACGGTATGGGTTAATTGCTTTGATACCTTCGATGCTACAATTCCTTTTGGTGGCTATAAGATGAGTGGACACGGAAGAGAAAAGGGAGAATACAGTCTCAAGAATTACTTGCAAGTAAAGGCAGTTGTGACCCCATTGAAGAATCCAGCATGGTTATAAACATAATCCTCCTCAGAAATTTTTACAAATAAAACTATATCAAGTTGCTTTATTTTATGATGCTGATGACGATAAAGTGTTGGTTTTCTTTCAAACTTGCTACTATAGGCAAACTGCAATTAATGTAAACAGACGGCAGGTTAATTGAATCATCGTTTCTCTTATATATATCCTCCTTGCGTATATGTTTTATCTATCCCAATGAAAATCTAAACTATGAAGTAGAATCCATCCGTTAACGCTGTGATTCTTAGATAGACATAGACTGGTCATGAAATTCTGTGAGAACTGAACAGCTTTTTAGGTTATAAGAAAACTGCACATACAAACACAAGACTGGACATTGTGATGATATACTGTAGACCTACTAGAGACCTTAGTACATGGAATGGTTGTAGAATACAAATGAGAAACTGATTACAAGTGATGTTGGAACTATTTCTGACTCTGTCTCGTCAAGTATAATTTCATGTTCATTGATCACCATCAGGATTGATCTTCTTTTTGCTGTTCTTGACAAGGGAAACAATGGACTGACCAATTTTCTCACCCATCATGGTAGAAACATGCTTCTTCTCTATTGGAAGTACACTTCCTTTCTTTGGAGTGAATGGGAATACGCCACTTTTGCGCGCTCCACTGCCTGCCATCTCTGCTTTTCCTTTTCCTTTTCCTTTGCTTTCCTTATCTGCCATTTTTCTCTTGCTCTCTTCTTGCTTTCTCTTGCTTAAGATAGTAGCTTAGTTTGTTATGTGAATTGTGTGTCTCTAACCAACAAGGAAAAGAGGCTTCTTATAGGCCTAAGAAACCAATTCTCCTACTACCATTTTGATTAGTTTCTTGTGTGTCAGTGTGTGTGTATGTGTAATGTGTATGTTTGTGTGTGTTTAAGCAAGTCAACATGAGTTCAAGCAAAGATCATATTCTGAGCTATGTGTGTTTGTGTGTGTTTAATTAAACTAGTCAACATGATCTTGAGCAAAGATCATATTGTGAGCTTAAACAAAGATCATATTGTGTGTATTTATATTTATTATTGCTAGTCATTAGTCAACGTGAGCTAAAGCAAAGATTATATTGTGGTGTTTGCCTTTAGGAGAAAAAACAACACAAATTCCTATGCTAAATCCTGTGTGTGTTGTGGTGTATGTCTGTTCACATTACGAATGTTCTCGAGCTAATATACAATACTCCTTCCTTCCCAATCTATGTGGAATTATTTGACTAGGCATGAAGTTTAAGGAAAAAAAAAAGACTTTTTGAAATGTATGATTTTAAAAAAATTAAATTATTGTTTCTAAAAAGGAAATAAATGCCACATAAATTGGGACGGAATGAGTACTAGTTTGACAGGCTATTTCACACATAGTTCTCTTAGGGGTCGTTTGGTTTGAATACGGCTTATGCTGGGATAAGTTATGCTGGGATTATCCTTGTATTGTTTTTTATCCACTGTTTGGTATGTTGTATTAAAAATTACAATTGCATAATTTTTAAGAAGAAGGTATAAGTTATCCCGACACTAATTACCCCACCCCCTACAAGGTATAAGCTATCCCGGTACTAATTTTAATCCCGGGATAAATTATACCAAGTTTGCTAACCAACTAAAGTATTAAGGTGGTATTAAATTTTTATACTAGCACTATATCTACTTATACCTCATACCAAACGGTCCCTTAGTTTATTGCACTAATTCGAAAATTAATTTTTTGTAATGAAATAAATTGTAACTATACTTATGTATCCCCTAAAAATAAAAGAGAAAACTACCCTCTATAGCCCCTCAAAATTTTAATAGCTCATATTTTGTACCACTTACAAAAAATGGCCCTTCGGCCAAAACATATTGCATATAGTAGCCAAAAGGAATGAGTATGACAACACAAGTGCCTGTAGCTCAGTGGATAGGGCGTTATTTCCTAAGCTGAAAGTTGTAGGTTCGACCCCTACCTGGCACGATAGAGCAACCCTTTTTTGCCTTCGGCCCATACATATTGCATATAGTAGCAAAAAGGAATGAGCATGACAACACAAGTGCTTGTAGCTTAGTGGATAGGGCGCCTATTTCCTAAGATGAAGGTTGCAGGTTCGAGCCCTACTTGGCGCGATGAAGCAACCCTTTTTTGCCTTTTTAAATTGTATTTTGTACTTCTGGATCTAATAATATTAGCTAAGAATTGAATGACAGTCTATTTTGTATATTTTTTGTATAATAACAGTCTATTTTGTATAGTGACAGTCTATTTTGTATAATTTTTGTATAGTAACAGTCTATTTTGTATAGTGACAGTCTATTTTGTATATTTTTTGTATAGTAACAGTCTATTTTGTATAGTGACAATCTATTTTGTATATTTTTTGTATAGTAACAGTCTATTTTGTATAGTGACAGTCTATTTTGTATATATTGTGTATAGTGAGAGCTAATTGTATATAAATTGTATAGTGGTAGTCTATTTAGTATATTTTTATATAGTGATAGTCTATTTTGTACATATTTTGTATAATGACAGTCTATTTAGTATATTTTTTGTATAATGACATTCTATTTTTGTATATATTTTGTATAGTGACACTCTATTTGTATATAAATTGTATAGTGACAGTCTATTTGTATATAAATTGTATAGTGACAGTCTATTTTGTATAATAACAGTATATTTTGTAGAGTTCCACAGCTCTTTATAACAAATTCCACAGCTCTCCACACTTAAAAACAGTTCCAATGAAGAAAGTTTCCACCTTTAAACCCCAACTGAAGCAGTTAGCACCGAGAAATACCTTTTTCGGATCCCTAGCACCAAAATCAAAATCAGATCCCAAGGCTGCAAAATCAAGATTACTTAACCGTTACAGCAGGGCACCTTGTTATGTGAAAAGAAGAAGAAAGCCCCAGTTGCAGAAAACTTCAAACGCGCATCCCAAAAATCTCAAAGAAAAGGTCGACCAACTACTTGTAATTAAAGCAAGTCTCAATACTACTAGTATATGAATTAATAGGAACCCTACACCCCAGATCAGAAATGAAATAAATAAATAATAACAAAATTCAAAGCCTAGAACTAAAAGTAGATATAAATGAGGAAAGCACTTTCTTTAAGGTAAGATTTTTCAACGCCCCCTTCACATTCTATTGGTGAAATTTGTTTCAAGGATTAAATCATTGCTTGGGAAATTGATGTGAACTAATACCGTCGCCGGCCAGTGGTTAATTCCGGCGGTGACTAGTAAGGAAGAAGAGGAAAGCGAGAGGAGCAGTCATGGTCATAGTTGGCTGGCTGGATTTCCGGCGAGGGAATTCGATCAATAAAGTTTTCGGCTAGCACTTGTCATTATTTTTAGGTAAATGACGTTGTATGGCCGTCCAAATATTTTAATAGCCCATATTTTCATCTTTGACCCGAAATGGCCTTTAGGCCCAATTCTTTTGCAAGTTGTAGCCACAATTCCCAATGCACTTCTCTTACCAATTCATTCGTATTTCCTACTCCTCCAGTTGTTTGTTATTCTCCTCCCACTTCCATCATCGATATATAATCACCACCAATCCAGCTTATCTCCACCGCCTTCCTCACACCACTGCTCCAACTTATCTCCACCACTGAACTCACTACCACCGATTCACCATATTTCCATAAGTAAATCTTTATCTCCCTCTCAAAACACTCTCAAATCTCAACCCCAAAATCAAATCGAGACCAAAAACCATCCATTGCGAATAGGAAATTTATAGAAATAATTTTTCTTTGTCTAAAACATCTCCACCACTACCTCTAACCAATGATAATTTTATTATCTTCCATGTTGCTTCCTTCCTCTCCTATAAAAGTCATGCAATTCTAGATCTGTAAGAAATTATAGCAAATACTTGGCTGGTGATATCTACCGGCCATGGCTGCGATCGGATAATGACTCCAGTGGCCTTCCCTTTTGCTTTCCTTTTCGGCTCTGACTTTTATGCAGCTACCTTACAAAT